GCGCTCGCCTTGAGCTGAAGAGCTGAGGGACAGTGCCCAGGCCCAGAGTCTCATGGACTTTCCTGTCTGGGCTGGCTTTGAACAGAGATCCTCAGATCTCAGCCTCCTGAGTAGCTAGGATTACAGGTGTGAGCCACCGGCACCCGGCACAGATACTGTTTTGAGCCCTTCCCACGACGCAGTCCAGCTCCTTCTTGTCCCCAACCTGCTTGTTCTCCGCTCTTGTGACTGTGCAGTCAGGAGAGGTGACTGACCTGTGACATTCTGGATGCTCTGTCCCCTAGTTGGTGCAGTCGAGTCCTAGGATATGGAACATAGGCATCTGGTTACAATGTGGTCTTCTCTTCCTCTTCCCTGCCCACAGAACTGAAGAAGTCCCTGTATGCCATCTTCTCCCAGTTTGGCCAGATTCTGGATATCCTGGTATCACGGAGCCTGAAGATGAGGGGCCAGGCTTTTGTCATCTTCAAGGAAGTCAGCAGTGCCACCAATGCCCTGCGCTCCATGCAGGGTTTCCCCTTCTATGACAAGCCCATGGTAAGGAGACAGAGAGAATTTTGTTAGAAAGTCCTTTGAACTTTATCAAAACACATAGCTACTGCCACCTGCTTCTTGTTTGTGGTGGTTGTTGACGTCAGTTGTGGGGCTTGAACTCAGGGCCTGGGTACTGTCCTGAACTCTTGCTCAAGCCTACCACTTTGAGCTACAGTACCACTTTCAGTAATCTGGTGGTTCATTGGCGATGAGAGTCTCACAGACTTTTCCTGCCCAGATCGGCTTCCATCCTCAATCCACAGATCTCAGCCTCCTGAGGTAGCTGGGATTATAGGCATGAGCCACCAGCACCCAGTTTATATTGCCTGCTTCTTGCACTTTCGTGCCTCAGGCCTAGTCAGAGCAGATGGCAGTTGCCTGTTCATGGGAGCCCTGTTCTCCAAGTTCCTTGTCCACACCACAAGGCTTCTTTCGAGACTTGAGTGAGGATTCCTTGCTCTCCTGCTTCCAACACTATAGCCTTAAGCTTCCTAGGACAAATATAGTCATCACTCGTGATGGTTCCTGACCACCTGGGGCCTTTGCTTTCTTCTTCCCTCATCAGAGTCAGCAGGCCTAGCTCTTTGTGTGGCCATTGCTGTGCTAGAAGGCTCTCTCCAGATAGCCTCATGGTTGGCTCTCCCCCAACCCCCTTTGTGGTCTGGACAAATGTCACCTCCATGAGACCTTTCCTGGCCACCTTGTCTGCAGATGTCACTTGTCAACATGTTGGAAGTCATGTTTCAGCCTTCTTGGTCATGCTGACTGCGCTCCATTGGACGGGGCTTCTGTGTGCTTACCTGGCTGTCCTCCAGGCCTGGAGTGCGGGCCCAGCCTCAGATAGATTGTCCCTTAGAGGGCTGAGTGGGTGAGTTTTAGCACCTGCACCGCTGAGCTCTGTCCATGTGTGAGCAGAAACTCCCCTGTATGGGGCTGGTGGTGAGGCGGTTCCATCTGTCCCCTAAAAACCTCAGCGTTCTCACTGTGTGTCAGGTACAGCCTGTTCTAGCACTTACACTCAACCCTCCTCTTTTCCCAATGGGAAGCATCCCCAGTTTTGGCATGAGTAAAATTGTAGCCAAGCAGTTTCTGTACCGGTTCTTTTCCAAGTTCCCGGTGGGTCCAATTTTTTCCATCCCAGGCAGTTTGGCTCTGAACCCCACACCTTCCCTTCTGTTTTTGGTAGCGCATCCAGTATGCCAAGACGGACTCGGATATCATTGCCAAGATGAAGGGGACCTTTGTGGAACGGGACCGCAAGCGGGAGAAGAGGAAGCCCAAAAGCCAGGAGACCCCATCGGCCAAGAAGGCTGTGCAGGGTGGGGCCGCTGCCCCCGTAGTGGGAGCTGTGCAGGGACCTGTCCCGGTAAGCCACCAGGCCTCCAGCAGCATCAGGCTCTAGCTAGGTGGGAGAGACATCTTCCTTGGGATTCAGACCCCTTCCTTCCTTTTTTTTTTTTTGTGTCAGTCCTAGGGCTTGAACTCAGGTCTGGGCACTGTCTCTGAGTTGTTTTTTTTTTCCTCAAGGCTGCCACTCTACCACTTGAGTCACAGCACTACTTCTAGATTTTTTGGTGTGAAGATAAGCGACTCAGAGACTTTCTTGCCCTGGCTGGCCTCTTAATTATGATCCTCATATCTCAGGCTCCTGAGGAAACCTCCAAGGTTTACAGGTGTGAGCCACCAGTGCCTGGCTCCATTTTTTTCTTTCTTTTTTTTTGTTTTCGGTCGGTGTGGAGCTTGAACTCTGGGCCTGGGTGCTGTCCCTCAGCTCTTCAGCTCAAGGCTAGCTAGCACTCTACCCCTTGAGCCACTGCGCCACTTCTGGTTTTCTGAGTGGTTTATTGGAAATAAGAGTCTCACAGACTTTGCTGCCAGTGCTGGCTTTGAACTGCGATCCTCAGATCTTAGCCTCCTGAGTAGCTAGGAATACAGATGTTGAGCCACTGGCGCCCGATTCTTCTTCTTTTTTAAACAAATACAGTGTTTTTCTGGGAGGGGCAGGGGAGGTTTGAGCACCTCCCCTGGGTAGGTTCTCTTTTTTTAATACCTATCTCCTCTGCTAAACTATTTCCGAAGTTCATTTTTCTCCATTATCTATTGCCTGGTTTCTTTCTTCACCTTGATTTTGCTGTTTGTTTGTCTTTCTCTTTCTCGCTCTTTTTGGTCAGTCATGAGGCTTAAACTCAGGGCCTGGGTGTTGTCCCTGAGCCTTTCTGCTCAAAACTAGTGCTCTACCACTTGAGCCACAGTGTCACTTGCGGTTTTTTGGTGGTTAATTGGAGAAAAGAATCTCATGGCCTTTTCCTGCCCAGGCTGGCTTTGAACTACAATCCTCAGATCTCAGCCTCCTGAGTAGCTATGATTATAGACATGAGCTACCAGTGCCTGACTTGCCGTCCATGTCTTTTAAATCACTGTCTATGTAGAAAATTACTTTAGTGGATAAGCGGCACTGGATATAAGGCTAGTAATAAACAGGAAAAGATATACCAATGGGGCAGACAGAAGAGTCTAGAAATATCTATATATACGATCCCTTTTTGGTTTTCTTGACAGATTATGTCTGTGTAGCCCAGACACACCTTGAACTCAATCCTCCAGCCCAAGTGCTCAGATTACAGACATGCATTCTTACACCTGGCTGGTGTGGACTCTTTTCTCTCTGTCTTTCTCTCTCTTTTTTTTGGTTGGTCATGGGGCTTGAACTCTGGGCCTGGGTGTTGTCCCTCAGCTCTTCAGCTCAAGGTGATCGATCTACCACCTGAGCCACAGTGCCACTTCTGGTTTTTGAGTGGTTCATTGGAGAGAAGAGTCTCACGGGGACTTTTGTTGCCTGGGCTGGCTTTGAACCACAATCCTCAGATCTCAGCCTCCTGAGTAGCTGGGATTACAGGCATGAGCCACTGGTGCCTGGCTCTTTTTGTCTCTCATCTGAGGGCACTGTAACTTGCCTTCCCTTGGCTTCGCCTCCCACCTTAGTGTGTCGATCTCATCCTCTTCCTCTGCAGGGCATGGGCATGCCGCCGATGACTCAAGCCCCACGCATCATGCACCACATGCCAGGACAGCCGCCCTATATGCCGCCTCCTGGCATGATTCCACCACCAGGCCTCGCGCCAGGACAGATCCCACCAGGAGCCATGCCCCCGCAGCAGCTCATGCCAGGGCAGATGCCACCTGCCCAGCCTGTAAGTGTCCTGTGCCTCCCCAGTCCTCCAAAGCAGAATAGGGGAACAGAAACGGGCAGGGTGGTAGAGAGCTGTTTTAGATGGAGTGATCTGGGCAGCCATCTTGGCACTGGAGCGGGGATCCCAAAGTATAGGGCAAGTAGCTGGGGGTGAGGAGGGTGGCCTAGTCAGAGGCATCAGCCTGTTGGGAGGTGTGAAGGCCAGGGGGAGGCCGGAGCAGAGGCCAGCATCTAGATTTATCTGCCGAGTGCCAGTTTGTGCAGCTGGCCTTGTACCGCACTTTGGAGGTGTGGGGTGCAGATAGAAATGTAGGAGTGCATGTGGGGCCACCGAGCTCCCCCCTCAGCTTGCGGCTCTGGTGTTCACGCTGGTCCCCTCCGTCCTCTGCAGCTTTCTGAGAACCCACCCAATCATATTCTGTTCCTCACCAACCTGCCGGAGGAGACCAACGAACTGATGCTGTCCATGCTCTTCAACCAGTAAGTGCAGCCGCGAAGGGAAATGACGCGAGTGGGCCTCAGGGCTGTGCTGTTAGCCCCCTGAACCAGCTCAGGCCTGGCAGGCAGCAGGGACTGCTGTGGAAGGTGGAGGATTCCAGGCTGGGGCTGTGGGAGAGGCCATCTGTGGAGATGGGGTCACGCTGGTCTTGGTTTAGCCTCTGAGGGAGGGGGGTCAGTAAACTCCACGTTCTGAGCCTTTTGTGTGTGTATGTGCATTTCCTGAGGCTCCAACTCAAGGCCTAGACACTGCCCTTGCACTTTTTCACTCAAGGTTGGTGCCCTACCGCTTGAGCCACAGCTCCACTGCTGGGGTTTTTGTTTGTTTGTTTCATTGGAAATAGGAGTCATATGGACTTTTCTTGCCCAGGCTGGCTTTGAACTATGATCCTCACATCTCAGCCTCCTGAGTAGCTAGGATTACAGGCATGAGCACTGGTGCTTGCCTGTTGTCTTATTAGCACTGTCCACATTTTGGGCCTGATAATCTGTTGTGAGAGCCTGTCCTGCCCTCTGTAGGATGTTTAGCATCTGTTCACTAGGTGCTGACATGAGGGGCGGAGCCCTGAGATCTGCTGTTCCCTCTTCATAGGTTCCCTGGCTTTAAAGAGGTCCGCCTGGTCCCCGGGCGGCACGACATCGCCTTCGTGGAGTTTGACAATGAGGTTCAGGCCGGGGCAGCTCGCGACGCCCTGCAAGGCTTTAAGATCACCCAGAACAATGCCATGAAGATCTCCTTTGCCAAGAAGTAGCACCCTTCCCCTGCCCCGGACTGCCCCCAACCCCGTCCTGGGGCCACCTCTGTCCCCCTTGGCTCAGTCCCTGAAGGTAAGTCCCCCTTGGGGGCCTTCTCAGAGCCGTGTGTGAGTGCGTGGTCGCCACACAGCATTGTACCCAGAGTCTGACCCAGACATTGCACCTGGCGCTGTTAGGCTGGAATTAAAGTGTTGTTTTTTTTGTTTTTGTTTTTGTTTTTTGAGGTTTGTTTTTTTTCACAACCGTTTGTCTGTCCCATTATTTTTTTGCTTTCTATGGTTCCTTCCCTTCCTTTCATATCAACACACCCCAGGCTTTTAGATCTCACGGAATTTTGGGAAAACACAGTTGGTATAATAACATTACACAAACTTAAGTTACATTGACTTCTGGCTCTTTCTCTGTCTTGTGTCTTCTCTTTTCTCTCCTCCCCTCCCCTCCCCTCCCCTCCCCTCCCCTCCCCTCCCCTCCCCTCCCCTCCCCTCCCCTCCTCTCCTCCCCTCCCCTCTCCCCTCCCCTCCCCTCCCCTCCCCTCCCCTCCCCTCCTCTCCCTTCTCTTCCCCTCTCCTCTCCCCTCCCCTCCTCTCCTCCCCTCCCCTCTCCCCTCCCCTCCCCTCCCCTCCCCTCCCCTCCCCTCCCCTCCCCTCCTCTCCCTTCTCTTCCCCTCTCCTCTCCCCTCCCCTCCTCTCTTCTCTTCTGTTATGAGGCTTGAACTCAGGGCCTGGGCTCTATCCCTGAGCTTTTTTGTTCAAGGCTAGCATTCTACCACTTTGAGCCACGATTTCACTTCTGGTTCTCCGGGGGTTCATTGGATATAAGAGTTTCACACACTTTCCTGCTTAGGCTGGCTTTGAACCGCAATCCTCAGATCTCAGCCTCCTGAGTAGCTAGGATTAAAAGTGTGCCACCAGCACCCGACCGGTTCTATTTTCTAACTGCCCTGTGCAAGTTAGGCAGATTGTAGACCACACAAAGATGCACTTGTTAAGAGCACCTCGTTTTGTCTGGATGCTGCTTCCTTCTCCTCCTCTCCACTGTCTGCTGTAGGGCAATGTGTAGTCTTTCTCCCTACATGACGTGACGGTCAGGAAAGGAGGACGGGGTTGCTGCCATCATTCCGTGGTGCGGCCTTAATGCAAGTGGGCAAGTGGAAATATCTCACCCATTGCACAGAAGCCATGGGCCTCACGGACCTGGCGCTTGTGATGTGTGGGCTTCTGTGATCAGCTGATCCTGATTTCCAGTCTGGGAAACCACCTTTTTTTCCTCCCCACCCGCCCCACCCCCATTACCCCAAGGACTATTCATGTCCTGGTGGTATTTTGATTTTCTTATGTTAATACCAGGATAATGCTTGTGCACACACCCACAGCACACTTAGTGTGTGCTTGCTCTCTCCTGTGGTGGGGATCGGGTGTGCAATAAGCCAATAGTAAATGTGCTAATGATAGCAAAAAAAAGTGCTCACTTGGCAATCCAGAGGTTGGGGAGCGGAGCAGGAGGTGGTTCTTGCGCATGCATCTGAAACAGGTATACAGGTGAGAGAGGAATGTTCATATCCACCACTTCCTGTTTCTGGCCATGGCATATTACTGAACTCCAGGCCCTAAGTTTCTCCTCAGCTTGACAGAAAAGGAAAACTAAGGGCAGCATTGCAGAAGGGTCTGTGAAGGCTGGAGCCGAAGTACTCCCTGGGCTGAACCCCCAGAAAAGACCCCGAACATCCAGGCCATTGGAAAGGTCTGGAAGCAGTACAGAGGGCCTGGAGTCGAGTGAGAGACCTCAGGGTTCGAGGACTGTGAAGAAGAGAATGGATCAGGGTTCCCATTTGCATTTTCATGAATAGAATTGTGTCTGTCAGGGCCCTGCTGGAATGCCTGTGTTATGGAGGAGAAATAAATTTTCCACGGGAGTTGGGGTGGAGGGTGGGGTCCTGGATGAAGTGGATATGGCCACATTGAATAACCTTCACCCTCTGTTCCTCGTGCTTTTGAAATTTCCTGCCGGATCTACAGCACATGAAGACAGTGGGGGACCCCCCCTCCGCTTTTCTGGGGGGAATGCCGCTGAACCTCTTGATCATACCTGAAGACACAGATAATACCAAATCTCTACAGGGTCTTTGCCAGTCATAATTACAACTTTGTTTAATGCAGCCTTGATCTAGGATACTTTGCTGTCATGAATTATGCAGCAATGGATAAGTAAAATTGAGATTTGGGAAATTAATTTCAACTATTATGGGCTACAGCTAATTCATAGTGTGTTCTAAAATAATCTCTTTTTGGGGGGTTGGGAGGGGACAGAAGCTCTGGCCTCACCCATTCAAAGCATACACTTCACCAACCTACCCTGATTTCTTCACACACTTGTTTACCTGAGGTGGGTTTACTGTTTGTCTGCCCCTATACAAGTTTTTCACTTCCTGATGAGTCTCCAAGGCCAAGAATAGGAACTAACATAATGTGTATAATCATATTTATTGAATGAATATAAAAAATTACTCCTTTAATTTTAATTGCCAGTCCTGTGGCTTGGAACTCAGACCTTCCTGTTTTTGCTCAAGACTGGCACTGTACTACTTGAGCCATAGTTCTCTTTTTAGTAATTAACTAGAGATAACAGGCACAGGCTTTCTTGCTCAGGCTGGCTTTGAACCATGATCCTCAGATCTCAGCCTTTGAGTAGCTACGTTTACAAGTGTGAGCCACCAGGGCCCAGCTACTTTATAATTTTGAGTGGGGATCTCAATGTTTCCCATCCTCCAACTTCTCAGTCTCCCAAGTAGCTGAAATTACAAGTATATACCATTAAATCTGGCTTTTTGTGTGTGTGTACTGTGGATTGAACTCGGGGGCTCTAGCCTTTTGAGTCATTTCTCCCAGTCCCAAATCTATATACACCATCATTGCCCTGTGAAATGGGTGGTTTTGAGAGGAGGACTTAGCCTAGCCCTGGTCATCTGGTCTGGAGTTTGCTAGTGAGCAATAGAAGGGGAGGCATTGCCTGAGGCCCAGAATAAGGGGCTCACTCAGCATCTGAGCTCTGAGGCTGTTCCAGGTAATCAAAGGTTGCCTTGTTTTGTGCCCCCACCCCTCCCCTATCCCACACAAGGAAATTCCAAGATGAATTTCTATACTTGCTCTAGTTCTGTCCCTGGGGACAATGGGAGATAGCAAAGTACCAGAGTCCAGATAACTTAGCTGACTCAAAAGATGATGGAATTGAATATCTTGGCCTCAGATGGTTGGCGAGGGGAGGGGTGACTCACTTGGAGTGGCCTGGTTTGCTTTGGGGCCCATCTGGGGGCATTTTCTTAGACTGATTGCTCTTACCTTGGAAGTGCTTCTGGCTGCCAATCTGGATGGTGAGTGTGGTGGGGGAAGTTTGGTTTGGGGCGGAGACAAGGCTTGAGAACACAGGTTTCCTTGTGTCTCAGGAGGGGAGGAGGGGAGGGATGGCAAGAGGAAAGAGACCCCACTTGTTTGCTTGCTCACAATCCATGATGGCGGGGTCTGCACTGTTTCTTGTCGTCTTCTTGCTGTGTGCTTTCCCGGGGCCTGGAGGGGCAGGCCGCCCCATGCCCAAGCTGGCTGAACGGAAACTCTGTGCGGATGAGGAATGCAGCCGTAAGAGGGGGGACCCAGGAGTTGGGGGTTTGGGTTGGTGGATTGTGTGGAAGCTGTTGTCATTTCCCTTCTATTCCTTCCCTAGACCCCATTTCTATGGCGGTGGCCCTTCAGGACTACGTGGCCCCCGACTGCCGATTCCTGACCATACACAGGGGCCAAATTGTATATGTCTTCTCCAAGCTGAAAGGCCGAGGCCGCCTCTTCTGGGGAGGAAGTGTGAGTCTGGAGTGAGACAGAAACAGACAGGGAGAGAGACAGGGAGACAGGGAAGGATATGGGGCTGGGGTCAGAGCAAAACCTGTTTCTCATCTGAAGGGAAAACCAGAGGCAGGGTGGGGTACAGTGAGGGGGGGGAAGGTGAGAGAGTTCTGTGACATACCTTGTTTGTCATAGGGATTGAATTCAGGCCTGGGCACTGTCCCTGAATTTTTGTTCAAGGCTAGCATTTTACTACTTGTAGTTAGGTGGAGATGAGCCTCATGGATTTTCCTGCCTGGGCTAGCTTTGAACCATGATCCTCAGATCTCAGTCTCCTGAATGGTTGGTGATGTGAGCCACCAGCAGCCATCTAGCTACTTTATTTTTACTCTAGTAACTGTGGTATCATTTAGCACCAAGTCCTTTTCTCTTTCCCCTGGAGACAGAGTCTTGATATGTAGCTACACTGGCTTTGAATTCACTGTACACACCCCTGGTGCAAAAGTTGATCCTCCTGTCTCATGCTCCCCAAATGCTGGGATTAAATGTATCCACCACTGTGCCTGGAACCAGCTTCTTGTCTTGAGTATCAAAGATAGAACAGGGAATGATAACCTTTCCTAGTGAAGGAAGACAATAAGGAAACCATAAAAAAAAAAAAAAAGTAAATGTGTGCTACTGTATTCCTACAGAGTGACTAGGAGTGCTCAGGGAGGGCCTCTGAGCAGTTGACATTTTAGTGGAAAGGTGGAGGTAGGCATGTGGAGATCCAAGAGAGGAGAGCATAGAGGCTTTTAGCTGGGATAGGAATGCCGTCTTCCCAGATCAGGTTTTCAACAATTCTTCTTCAGGTCCAGGGAGAATATTATGGAGATCTGGCAGCTCGTCTGGGCTATTTCCCCAGTAGTATTGTCCGAGAGGACCAGACTCTGAAACCTGGCAAAGTTGATGTGAAGACAGATGTGAGTTTCCTGGGGCTGGCAGGGTTCTGGCGGGAAGACCCTTGGGAGTATGATGGGCAAATAGGCTCTGCAGCTGCTTTGCTGGTTTTTTTTTTTTTTTTTTGGTCGGTTGTGGGGCCTGAACTCTGGGCCTAGATGCTGTCCCTCAGCTCTTCAGCTCAAGGCTAGCGCTCTACCACTTGAGCGTCAGCCCCACTTCCAGCTTTTTCTGCTTATGTGGTGCTGAGGAATCAAACCCAGGGCCTCATGCATGCAAGGCAAGCACTCTACCACTGAGCTACCTTCCCAGCCCCCTGCTTTGCTGTTTGAATTGGGACAAATTTGTGTGTGTGTGTGTGTGTGTGTGTGTGTGTGTGTGTGTGTGTGCGCGCGCGTGTGCGTGCGCGTGTGCATGAGTGCTGGTACTGGGATTTGAACTCAGGGCCTCCCTCTCTCACTTGTCTCTATTGTTAAAAACTGGCATTCTGTTGCTTGAGCCACACATCCACTTGTGGCTTTTGCTGATTAATTGGAAATATGAGTATCGGATTTGTCTGTCATGGCTGGCTTCTAGGATCGTTGGATCTCAGCCTCCTGAGTAGCTAGGATTATAAGTGTGAGCCACCTAATTTTTTCCTCCCTTTGAGACAATCCTCTCTGTTGCTTAGGCTGGACTTAAACTCTCCATCCTCCTGCCTCAGCTTGCTGAGTTGCAGGTCTTACCCAGTACCACTGTATCTGGCCCTTATCTACTTTGGAGGAGCAACAATTAGAAGACTCTCGGTCAATTTGCATAGGTCTTGTGTGGCCAAATCTGGTTCCTGTGGCTACAAGTTTTTTGCTAAAACCGCTAGATCCATTGTGGCATAATTCCTCATTTTCTTTCCAACGTTTTGCCTTTCTCTTTTTCAGAAATGGGATTTCTACTGCCAGTGAACTCAGCCTACCGCTGTCCCTGCTGTGCTTTAAGCAAAATATATCAGCCCAGTGCAACTGCCTCTTTCTGTGGTTTTTTTGGGTGGGTTAGGGATGTTACAAAGGAAATATTTCGCAGGGTCCTGAATCTAACCAATCATCTTCCTGAAAATGGTGACATCACAGTTGCTAGGTTGACTTTCACTAGTGAAAGCCCGTACTGCAAGCTGGGTACCCAGCAAGGGCTCCTAAACTTAGTTTGGGGACAACAAAGAGCAAGGGAGAAGACGCTTCGTAAATAGAATATAAATTGCAGATGCAACTCAGGCTGATCTCGAACCCCGATTCCCCTACCACCGAGGTGGCATCTGCCGGACAGCGGTTTTATTTCATTTTTTTTTTTCCTTTGTGGTGGAAGAGATCCAAACCCAGGGGCACGGGCATACAAGACAAGCCATCCTCTGCTTTATACCATCTTTTGAGAGCGAGAGAGCAAGTGCACGCGTGCGTGCATGCTTGTCTTGGGGCTTGAACTCAGGCCCTGAGCCACTGTCCTTTAGCTTTTTCACTCAAGGCCAGCGCTAGACCAGTTGAGCTTTTTTTTGGGGGGTGGTTAACTGGAGATAAGAGTCTCGCAGGCTGTGCTGCCCACGCTGACTTCCAACTGCAAGCCAGAGATCTCAGCCTGAGAGTAGCTAGGATTACAGGTGTGAGCCACCGACGCGTTTTCTTTGAGACTATATGCAAAGGTTGTTGAAGAGGAATTGGCCACCTGTCCTCCCAGTTTTCTTCTTTCCTGCCTTTGGACTAACAACTGGCCCCCTCCAGCTCAAGAATCGTTCCTGTCCTGTCAATCGTGTCCTTGTCCCTTCTTCGAATTCGTATCCCCGCCCCCGTGTCCGCTCCTATCCAATCAGGAGTCTTAAATGGCCCGACTCCTGACCAAATCCGTTCCTCTGCTGGAGGAGCCGTCTCTGTCCCGCCCCTTCCCACTTGCCCCACCAATCGTTCGTCTTGGCCCCGCCCCTTTCGACTAGCCCCTCTTCCTCTACCAATCAATGTCTCTTATCCCGCCCCCTGCTCGCGGAGTTAACCAATCGCTGCTTTGAAAAGCGTGGCCTGGCATCCCGCAGCATTAGCGGGTCGCATCGGAGCGGTGTGTGTTGGGGAGGTAGTGGTGGTGGGGGGGGGGGGGCGGGTGAAGGCGGAAGTGGTGGCGCCGGGTCCGGGAGTAGGAAGGAGCCGGGGCTGCAGCCGGAGTGGAGCGGCTGCCTGCCGAGGAGCCAGGCGCGGCCGCGGCGCCATATTTGCGGCCCTTAGCGGCCGCGACCGAGTCATGGCCGAGACCTACGGTGAGGACGGTGGGCTAAAGCTAGAGGGGTTTCGGGGTCCAGGCCCACAGAGGATGCGGCCTGTGGGAATGGGGCGGGGCTCTCGGCGCAGGGGGCGGGGCCTACAGCAACAGGGGCAGGGCCTGGGCGGGAGCGGGGAGGGGTTTCGTGGGTTGGGGGTGGGTGGGCGGAGCTTGTGGAGGGTCCGGGGCGGGATTTGAGGGAGCTGGTCAGGATGGGTTCGGGATAGGCCTGGAGGGGAAGACGGGCACCCTCACGGAAGGGGCGGAGTCTGGAAGAAATGGGCGGGACACTCGCGAGAATGGCAGGGGTCGCGCTTCCGGGTCTAGCTCTGTGCCCTGGGCTGCTCTGGAATGAACTTGGTACCTAGGTTGTCCTTGAGTTAGGGTGGTGAAGGGATGGGACTTAAGCTTGAGAATAGGGTTGAGGGGAGTCTGGGGAGAAAAGGATAGGGAAATAGAAAACAAATCACTGTGAATGTACAATCAGGTGGATGCAAGGGTTTCAGGGTGCTGGTCACGGATTCATTCAAGTCCAGAAAAGCAGAGAGATTAAACACAAAGATCCCCTGTTCAGAGAATATAACTTGAAGGCTAGCTATATAGGTGCAAGAGTGCCAAAGGCCATTTGGATATTTATGACATCACTCAAGGGCCATACGAGATGATCACTACAGCTGGACACTAGTGGCTCAGGAGGCTGAGATCTGAAGCTCCCAGTTAGAAGCCAGCATGGGTAGGAAAGTCTTTGAGATTCTTATCTCCAAGATAAGAATCTTATCACCAAGAAAAGATGTAGAGCTGCACTAGGCTTGAGCAAAATAAGGGACAGGGCCCGAACCCCCAGTTCCTGAGTTTAAGCCTTAGTAGTCTCACAAAATAAACTTTATAAAAAGGATGGGGCATGGCTCAAGCAAGTAGAAGAATTGCCTGGCAAGGGAGGCCTTGGGTTCAATCTCTAGTTCCATAAGAAAAAAGAGGGACAGAGGCTAGATTGTCAACCTTGATTAAATGTTATTCTTTAGAGTCTTTAGTGGTAGCCTCGCGCAGGTTTCATGCCTGTGTTGCCAGCTGTTCAGGAGGTAAAGGCAGGAAGATCTTGCACTCATAAGATGTTTGGCTTGGGTTTGCAATTCAGCTCTTCCTGTGTGATGTCAGGCAAATCAATTAATCTTTTGGCCTCATTTTTCTCATCTAGAAAAATAGGAAATCGTAATTTATTTTATTTTTTAGTGGGGGTACTAAGGCTTAAACACAGGGTCTGGTCTCTGTCCCTTAGCTTTTTCACTCAAGGCCGGCACTCTACTACTTGAGCCATAGCTCCGCTTTATAGTTTTTTGGTGGCTAATTGGAGATAAGCATCTCATGGATTTTCCTGCCCAGGCTGGCTTCAAACTTCCATCCTCAGATCTCAGTCTCCTAATTAGCTTGGATTACAGGTGTGAGCCACCAAGGCTGGGCTCTTAACTCTTCTTGTTTCCCTTTTTGTCCTTGATTCTAACCCCATCCACATAGACTTCCTCTTCAAATTCCTGGTAATCGGCAGTGCAGGAACTGGAAAGTCATGTCTGCTTCATCAGTTCATTGAGAACAAGTGTGAGTTTCTGGCAGTGGCCTGGGAGCACTGAGCTGTGGATCTGGGCCTAGATAAGGGCAGGTGGGCAGCTGGTGGCACGGGTTGGGATGGCCATACTTATACAATAGCTCTGTTGTTGGCTTCTTCACCCTTGCCTTGGTCTATGTTCTTTGCTAGAATGGGTCTGTAGAGGATGGGGGCTCCTCTTGAGTCTCTGCACTGCTTTCTGTCTGTCTCCATCTCCCAGTCAAACAGGACTCCAACCACACGATTGGTGTGGAGTTTGGATCCCGGGTGGTCAGCGTGGGTGGGAAGACGGTGAAGCTACAGATCTGGGACACGGCTGGCCAGGAGCGGTTTCGGTAGGTAGCCTGGGCTCCCAAGGAGGGATGGCGGGAGACTGAGGTGTGCAGTGTCACCAGTGATACCACAATAGTAGCAGGCAGCCATGAAGAGCAGGAGAGACAGAAACAGAGACCATTGCTCTCAGATTAAAAGTAGCAGGGTAGGGTGGTGCATGTTTATAAGACAGACAAACAAAGCGCGAGACTTATAGACAGACTCAATTGCTCTGAGGCAAAGAAGAGAAATTGTATCTCAACCAGAGGAAAGCTAGAGTGTTTTTTTGTGGGGGGGTTGGGTGGGCGAAAAGGTGAAGGGGGGCCTCCGAACCACCAGTCTCTCTCCGCAGAGGGGGGCAGTCCCGGGCAGACCCCAGCCTTGGGGGTGACTGGGTCCCCCTGGCCCCACAGGTCGGTGACGCGGAGTTATTACCGAGGGGCAGCTGGAGCTCTGCTGGTGTACGACATCACAAGGTGGGTGTAGGGGGGTGGGTGGTGTGGGCCAGCTGGGCCCTAGCGACCCCTCTCCCACGCTGCCTTCCTCCTCTTATTTCTTCTCCACAGCCGGGAGACATACAACTCTCTGGCTGCCTGGCTGACCGACGCCCGAACACTGGCTAGCCCAAACATCGTGGTCATCCTCTGTGGCAACAAGAAGGACCTGGACCCTGAGCGTGAGGTCACCTTTCTGGAGGCCTCCCGCTTTGCCCAGGAGAATGGTGAGGCCTGAGCTTGAGACTGACCAATGGGGGCAGAGAGATTGGACAGTACATGGCGCCCATCTGCTTCTTAGCTCTGAATGGCTGTGCCCTGAAGGTGGACACACAGGGATCTGGTTCAGATGTCATTGTGGAGCTGTGTGGCCACTTGGGGGTTGAGTACCCTTAGCTGGGAAAGGGGGATCCCTGCATTGCCCAAGAGATCATCTGCCCTCCCCACCCCAGATGGGGTTGGGTTTATAGAATATCCATTAGTCTAGGGAAATAGCACAGGATGTTGTAAACTCAAGATGGCCCTAGGTGCTGAGCCACTGGTGGTTCAGGTCTGTAATCCTAGCTACTCAGGAGGCTGAGATCTGTGGATCCTTGTTCGAAGCCAGCCTAGGCAGGGTAGTCCAAGAGACTCATCTCTAACTAGCAAAAAGCCAGAAAGAGAACTGCTATGGCTCAAAGGTTAAATGTGCTAATCTTGAGAGAGAGAAAAAGAGCTATGCCTCCCCACATTTTGTAACCTCTAGATATAGAGATTTTTTGCCACTACAAAACTTGGGGTTTGAATCCTGTCTCCAACTCACCTTCCCTGAGATCTTATCCTATGGCTGATGGGTGACTGGTGGGTTTGAGGCTGTGCTAAGTGGTACTGCGGACTCAGTGGTGAAACCAGTCCAAGGCACAGCTCTCACAGGTCTCTCAGTGCAGTGGATTGGGGCCAGATACCCCATTGATAAGACAGTAAGAGTGAAAGCCAGAGAGGACAGACCAGCGACAGGGAAAGCTGTGGAAGCACCCAGGAGTCATGTGACTCAGGCTGCCTTGCTTGCTGAGCCAGGATGGAAGAGCTAGGTGGGTGCCCGGGAAGTGAGCAGCTTGCTGCAGAGGGCTGCGGTGAGGGCAAAGGTGGAGGGGACATTTGGGGAACTGGTCAGAAGTGGAGAAGAGACAGAGACTGATGGAGGCCTTGTCTCCAGAGCTGATGTTCCTTGAGACCAGCGCTCTCACGGGCGAGAATGTGGAGGAGGCCTTCCTGAAGTGTGCCCGAACCATCCTCAACAAGATTGACTCAGGTGAGCCCCGTGGGGGGTGGGAGGTGGAAAGCAGGGCTGGAAGGACTCCGAGGGGACAATGCTGACCTCCCCCATTCCACAGGTGAGCTGGACCCCGAAAGGATGGGCTCTGGCATTCAGTATGGTGATGCGTCCCTCCGCCAGCTGCGGCAACCTCGGAGTGCCCAGGCCGTGGCCCCTCAGCCCTGTGGCTGCTGAGACCTGCAGGGTCAGGTGGGACACTGGGGACACTGGGATGTAGGGAAGGCTTTTCTAGGGGAGGGGGTGGTGGTGCGGAGAAGACATGGAGACACAGAAAATGTGGCTGCAAGATAAAAAATGGCCCTCACTGGACGCTGGTGGCTCACGCCTGTAATCCTAGCTACTCAGGGGGCTGAGATCTGAGGATCACAGATTGAAGCCAGCCTGGCAGGAAAGTCCCCATGAGACTCTTATCTCCAGTTAACCACTCAAAAACCAGAAATGGAGCTGTGGCTCAAAGTAGTACAGTGCTAGCCTTGAGCAATAGAGCTCAGGGTCAGTGCCCAGGCCTGAGTTCAAGCCCCACAACTGCCAAAAGAAAAAAGAAAAAGAAAAGTAGCCCAGGGTAAGCCACGTTCCCAGCCACCGGGTACCCCATATGTCTGCCTCACCCCCAGGTCTCTGCCTGCGCTGACCAGCTCACTCAGGGGTTTCACCTATGCAGTGAGCACCTACTGTGTGCCAAGGCTTGGGGTCAAGGCTCTGGGGAGACTGTAGCCAGGAAAACAGACCAAAAAACACTATCCTTTTGCATCGACAGTCTCTTGGGAGGAGACAGAGCATAAACAAACATGTGTGTGGCTAGGGTGAGAAGAGCTATGGAGCAAATAACAAGCCTGCTGGGGAGGTGGATGGGGGATGAATGTTTTGATGGTTTCTGAGACAAGCTCTGGCTATGCAGCCCAGGCTGGCCTCAAACTTGTGATCTTCCTGCCTCAGCCTCTTGAGTACCAGGATTATAGGTATGTGTCACTATTTCCAATCTACCCCCCTCCTTTTTTTTTTTGGTTTCTTCTTCTTGTGCCAGTTCTGAAGCTTGAACTCAGGGCCCTGTGCTTGTTTAGCTGGTGCTTTCCCACTTGAGCTATGCCTCTAGCCTTTTTCGTTGGTTGTGGAGCTTGAACTCTGGGCTTGGGTGCTCTCCCTGCACTCTTCAGCTCAAGGTAAGCGCTCTACCGCTTGCACCACTTTTGAATTTTCTAGTGGTTAATTGGAGATAAGAGTCTCACGGACTTTTCTGCCCAGGCTGGCTTTGAATCATGATCCTCAGATCTCAGCCTCTTCTGTAGCTAAGATTACAGATGTGAGCCACATGTGCCCAGCCAGCCTTGCTTTTTTATTTTATTTTTGTTGGTCATGGGGCTTGAACTCTGGGCCTGAATGCTATCCCTCAGCTCTTCAGCTCAAGGCTAGCGCTCTACCACTTGAGCCTCTGTGCCATTTCCGGCTTTCTGAGTGGTTAATTGGAGATGTGAGTCTCAAAGACTTTCCTGCTTGGGCTGGCTTGCAACCATGAGCCTCAGATCTCAGCTTCCTGACTAGCTAGGATTACAGGCATAAGCCACCAGCATCTAGCTCAGCCTAGCTTTTGGTCGATTTTTTTTTTGGGTCTGGTCGTGGGGCCTGAACTCTGGGCCTGGGCACTGTCCCTCAGTTCTTCAGCTCAAGGCTAGCACTCTACCACTTGAGCCACAGCGCCACTTCCAGCTTTTTTTTCTGCTTATGTGATGCTGAGGAATCAAACCCAGGGCCTCATGCATGCAAGGCAAGCGCTCTACCACTGAGCCACCTTCTCAGCCCCTGTCCATTACTTTTGGAGAGGTAGTCTAGAGAAATTTACTACCTGGGCTGACCTTGAACTGTGATCTTCCAGATTTCAGCCTCTGGAGTAGCTAGAATTAGAGGTGTGAGCCACTGATGCCTGGCTTAATCATATTTTATTGTTTTCCACCAATGTTCTTTGTGTTTTTGTTGTTTATTTTATTTTAGTTTTTTCAGTCAGGGGCTTGAACTCAGGGTCCAGCTGCTGTTCCTGAGTGCCTTTTGCTCAAGCCTAGCACTCTATCACGTGGAGCCACAGCACTACTTCCAGTTTTTTTGGTAGTTAATTGGAGTTAATAGTCTCATGGGTTCTTGCCCCAGCTGGCTTTGAACTGTGATCCTCCTGAGTAGCTAGGATTACAGGTGTGAGCCACCAGTGCCTGGCTCTTGTTTTTATTTTAAAACTCTTATTATCTTTTTATTATTATTATTTGTTTTATTTATTTTTTTGGTTGTGAGGCTTGAACTCTGGGCCTGGGCGTTGTCCCTCAGCTCTTCAGCTCAAGGCTAGCGCTCTACCACTTGAGCCACAGTGCCACTTCCAGCTTTCTGGTGGTTTATTGGCAATGAGTCTCATGGACTTTCCTGCCCAGACTGGCTTTGAACTGTGATCCTCAGATCTCAGCCTCCTGAATAGCTAGGATTACAGGCGTGAGTCACCTGCACCCGGTTTATCTTTATTATTTTTAATTGAGATTAAGTTCACTTTACATAACCTTGATCTCACCTCTCTCCTTCCCTTCTATCTTCCCTTCCTCCTACCCTTCCTCCCTCTTTTCTTCCTTCTTTTTCTGTAGTAGGGAATTGAACCCAGGGCCTTGTAAAGTGAACAATTCAGTGACATTTAGTATGTTTACTAAGTTGTTCAATTATTGTCTCTAAGTTGTAAAGCGTTTTGTTTTGTGTGTGTGCTGTTTCTGAGGCTTGAACTCAGGGCATCATGCTCATTTTTTTTTTTAATCAAGTCTAGTACTCTACCACTTGAGCCACACCTCCTTCCAGCTTTTTGATAGTTAGAGATAAGACTCTCACCCATTTTCCTGCCTGGGCTGGCTTCAAACAGTGATCCTTAGATCTTAGCCTCTAGAGAAGCTATAATTACAGCCATGAGCCACCAAGTGGCCCAGCTAACTTTTTTTTTTTTTTGCCAGTCCTAGGGCTTGAACTCAGGGCCTGGGCACTGTCCCCGAGCTTCTTGTGCTCAAGGCTGGCACTCTACTACTTGAGCCACAATGCTTTCTGGATTGTTCTGTTTATGTGGTACTGAGGAATTAAACCCAGGGCTTCATGCATGCTAGGCAAGCACTCTACCACTGAGCCACATTTCCAGCCTACAGCAAACATTTTTGATACCTTGAAGGAAAACTGCATGTCCATGACACTATCATTCCCATTCCCCCTACACTTGTCAACCAGCAATCTGCTTTCTATTTCTATCCACCAGTATTTCTTCTGTGTATATTTGTATGCACAGGTAATCGTTCTTGAACTTAGAGCCTTGAGCCTTTGCTTTGCTTTTTTGCTTATGGCTCAGGTTCTACCACATGAGCTATGTCTCTACTTCTGGCTTTTTACCGGGATAATTGAGCTTGGATTGGCTTTGAACCTCAGTCCTCAGATCTTAGCCTCTTGAGAAGCAAGGATCATAAGTATGAGCCACCAGTGCCTGGCTTCCAATATTTTTATTTCATATGACACACTTTTTTTTTTTTGTGCCAGTAAAGGGGCTTGAACTCAAGACCTGGGTGTCATCCCTGAGCTTCTTTTTCTCAAGGTTAGCACTCTACCACTTGAGCTACTGCACCACTTCCGGCCTTTTCTAAATTGTTCACTGAAGAGGAGACTCATGGACTTTCTTGCCCAGGCTGGCTTTGAGCCATGATCCTCAGATCTCACCCTCCTGAGTAGCTAGGATCACAGGCATGAGCCACCAGTGCCCGGTTTGCACACACATTTTTAAAAAAAAATTTCATTAGTAGTTTATATTAATTGTACAAAATACTGGGTTTTACTGTGACATGGTCACACATGCATATGACACACTTTGATCATATTTAACCTCTATTATTTTATCTCACACATCCCTGGGATGTCTTTTATTTAATTTAATTTTTTATTTTATTTATTTATTTTTTTTGTCAGTTGTGGGGCTTGAATTCTGGGCCTGGGCGCTGTCACTCAGCTCTTCAGCTCAAGGCGAGCGCTCTACCACTTGAGCCACAGCGCCACTTCCAGTTTTCTAGTGGTTTATTGGAGATAAGAGTCTCATGGACTTTCCTGCCTGGGCTGGCTTTGAATTGTGATCCTCAAACCTCAGCCTCTGGAGTTGCTAGGATGACAGATGTGAGACACTGGCGCCAGGCATCTTTTATTTTTTATTTCTATCTGATAAATCAATTAGTCAAGGCCTGGCATCCATGCAGTACTCTACATTGGATCTGTGAGAAAGGGGGCGTAAGAGCTACTGATGCCCAGGAGTTACCCCAGAGATTCTGAAGTAATTTGAGGATTTCTAGAAGCTTCCAGATAATGCTTTATACAGTCAAAACAGGAACCAGTAATTAACGTGTCTGTCTAGTTTGGAAAAAGCTGGAATGAAGCCTAGAATCAGGGTGAGATCACGGACATAGAAGGACAGAGATACAAAGGTGAGATAGTGGTCTTGTGGTCCTTAGACATTGCCAGGTTCCTTTCCAAGACGCAGACAGCTCTCCGGGCCAAACAGAGACTGAAATTCCCTGCAGAGGAGAAACAAACAATTGAGACTCTGGGTGAAAGCAAAGTGTACCTACTGGCTATCAGGAAGACACTCCGAAATGAGACACAGACACTAGCTAGCCAGGCCCCAGACCCCTTAAGGTCACCAACTTCTTCTCTTTCAGCTCATCTGTTCTCCAAGACCAGCCCTGCCCTTCCGGCTGGGGCCTAGACCCAGGCCCCAGGAGGCCACGCCCCAACCTGCTCCAGCCCCAGAAAAGCTGCCCTGCCACTTTGTCCTCCTTCCCTGGCCTGGTGGGGCCTGGCTATGGGGCAAGACTGAGCCACAGGGGAAGGGAGAACCCATTCCTGCTGCTGCTTCCTCTGTCTTGGCTAACTTCTGTCTCCCTCACCCCTGAACCCCTAACCAGAACCCAAGAGCTTCCAAAGCTTGAGACCAGGGCCCTTTGGCCCCAACTTCCTGCCTGGCCCTGCTGTTGCGAGTACTGAATACATGTTATTTATTACCTGGAGGCCTGCCCCTGTCTCAAACCCTGCCCCATCCACCATAAAGCATTGTTTACACCAGTGTCTTAGCCTCTGTCATTTTGGGATGTTGGGTAGATGTTAGACGTCTCTGGTGGAAGACTGAGGGGTCTTGGTGTTTGGAAGCCTTGTTTCTGGAGTTGGACTGTGTGGAGGTAATAGGGCTCCTGTGGAAAGCCTGGAATTCAGAAATCCTCCTACCTCAGCCTCCTCGAGTACAGATATGCACACCACACCTAGCTTGCGTTCACACTGGTGACAGTGGGTGTGACGTGTTTATGACCTGTAGGCATCTCTATATTTGATGGTAGGTGACTGTGCCCGAGGAATGTGTGATTCTGAAACATGAATGCCCTTTTCCCGGTGATCAAATTAGTGAGGCTAGTGGATTTGTGGGCATCAAGGTCAAGGATGGGCCCGTGGGGTGGGGTGGGGGGCGGTCTCTTGGAGCTCAGGGTGGCAGCCACCACCTTCAAGCAGCCTGCCAGACACAGTCCTGGCTGCTCTCCCAGGCCGTTGGCCCTGCAGGGTGCTGGCAGAGAGGCCGGCCAGTCAAAATGACCTTATCTCCACAATCCTCCCCCGAGCCATGCCCCACGCGTCCTCAGAAGCTGGTCATGCAAATGTCTCCCGCATCGCCGTCCCGGGTGGTTTCATTCCGGGCCGGCCGCAGAGCCGAGGTTCCTGGGGGAGGGGAGGGGGGCAGGGCAGGGTGGAGCGGGTCACGCAAATATTTGCTCACCGTTTCTCCGTCCGCTTTCCCTGCAGGACATCCCGTACTTTCTCCGTTATAAAAAGTGCTTATGTAAATGACCGGCGCGCAACTTTACATACATTTTTTCCAACTAACTGCGCAGCCATTTTTCAACACCCCTCTCTTAGGGCGGGCGGGGAGGAGCGGCCTATGCAAATGAGTTCACTGGCCGGCCGCTTTCCCAACCCGCTGCTCCAGGTTGCTCCGCTTTTTACAGCCCAGCCGCTAGGGCTTTCCATGTAAATGAGCTCATTTGCATTTCCCCCCTCAGGACCGCCCCTTCTCAGCCGCGTTCCTACGCTCCGGGTGGAAGGGGGCGGGGCAGGATAGGTAAATGAACCACGCGCCGCCGACCGTCCCACTTCTCCAAAAGGACTTTCTCGGGTTACCCCACCCTGTGCGGCTTTGCGCCTGCGCATTGCCAATCCCGAAGGGAGAGGGAGGGGTGAAGAGCGGGCGAGGTCACGTGTCCACCGGACGCGGCGCGGGCGGGGGGGGGGGAGGAGGTGGGGCGAGGGTGGAGCGGCGCGGGTGGTGGTGGGGGCGGGGTATGGCGCTCTGTGAAGCGCTGGGCGGTTGGCACAAACGGCGTCGCCGGGGCCGGAGGAAAAAGCTCGGTGAGGAGATCGCGGAGAAGGAAATGGAGGGATGTGGGGAGGAGGAGAAGTAGCCGGAGTCGCCGGGGCGCCGCTGCGCGCCGGGCGTGGTGTGTGCGCGCGCGCGCGCGCGCGGTGGTGGGGGGCGCGCGCGGCCCGCGGAGGGCGAGTGGGGGAGGGGAGGCACGCGCGGCGGCCGCACGTTGGGCGCCGGGCGGGCGTGGGGGGGCGGCAGGGGGTACTGCGCGCCCCGAGGCCCGGGGGGCAGGGGGGCAGGCGGGGAGCGCGGGGCCTCCTCAGGGTCCCCGGAGTACGCGGACCCCCCTCGGTTGCCGTAGGCCCCTCCTCCCCGCTTCCCTTCCGTGTGTCCGTCCTCTCCGGACCTCCCTTCCGTCTGGGTGTGAGTCCAGCCCCCCCTCCAGCAGGCTTCCTCCGGTTGGGCACAGGTCGATCCCCCCCACCTGGCCTGTCTGTCCGTGTCAGGCCCAGCCCTCCCAGCTTCCCTCGGGTGTTTTTGTTTTTGTTTTCCTCTCTGCCTTCCCCCCCCCCCACCCCGATCTCTTTGTCTCTCAACTCCCCAGTTTCCTCTATGTGTGCCTGCTCCTCTCCACCTACGACGACTTCCCCTAGATTCCCTCATTTCCTCTTTCTGTAGACCCCCCCTTCCATTTCTCCTTCTTGAGCCTCCCCTCCCCGACAGATCCCGCCTCCTGCCCACCCCTCCAACCACTCCTTTTCTGCCCCAGATCCCTCCTCCTCTCTGGGATCTGGATCTTATTTCCCCGCCTCCCTTCTCTGCCGTCCTCTCTTTGGGCCATCCCATCTCTTCCCCTTCACTGTCCTGTCACAGGTGCGCGATTCCTCCCCTGCCCTGCCCCACATTCTCAGACCGACCCTGCACTTGAACTCAGGTACCCGGGGTTTGAAATCACTAGTGTCCCCAGTCATCTCTCTCTACTGTCTATACCATCTCCTACCTGTTTGTCCGTAACTCCTCTTATGCCCCTTTTTCTCTCTCTCCTTCCAGCAACCCCAGCCGGTCCCTTCTCACATCCTTAGGGACACCAGTGGACTTGGGGGCCAGCAAGCATCCCCAGAGCACCAAAAGGAGCTCCTGCTGCCGGCCCTGCCTTACCCTGCCCCACGCCAGGTCCAGCGGCCCCCGGCTGCAGCAAGTAGAGGAGGAGGAGGAGGTGGTGGAGGAGGGTGGCATCATGGGCCGGGGCCGTGCCCTCCATGCCCGGGGGATGAAGACACTGCAGCCATGGACAGCCCGTGCCAGCCACAGTCCCTGAGTCAGGCTCTCCCTCAGTTGCCAGGGTCTGTGTCAGAGCCCTTAGAGCCTAGCCGAGCCAGGATGGGGGTGGAAAGTTACCTGCCCTGTCCCCTGCTACCTTCCTACCACCAAAAGGGAGCAGCCGGTGAGGTCTCGGCTGGCAGTGGGACCTCCAGAGCCACAGCCACCGTTACCACTGCCAGTCCCCTGCGGGAAGGCTTCGGTAGTCAGGATGGCGGTGAGCTGTGGCCGCTGCAGAGTGAAGGTGCAGCGGCCCTGGTCACTAAGGAGTGCCAGCGACTGGCTGCCCAGGGTGCCCGGCCTGAGGCCCCTAAACGGAAGTGGGCTGAGGATGGCGGGGATGCACCTTCACCTGCCAAGAGGCCCTGGGCCAGGCAAGAGGACCAGGAGGCAAAGGAAGAGGGTGATGTAGGCTGTGGCAGTGGCCCCAGCACTACCAGCAACAGCACTGGCAGCGTCGGTGAGGCGAGTGCCCGGCTGAGGGAGGAGACTCTACCCTGCGCTCCTGAGCGCCTGGCCCTGGACTACATTGTGCCTTGCATGCGGTACTATGGTATCTGCGTCAAGGACAACTTCTTGGGGGCAGCACTGGGGGGCCGGGTGCTGGCCGAGGTGGAGGCGCTGAAGTGGGGTGGGCGCCTGCGCGATGGGCAGCTGGTGAGCCAGCGGGCCATCTCACCGCGCAGCATTCGCGGGGACCAGATTGTCTGGGTGGAAGGCCACGAGCCAGGCTGCCGGAGCATCGGTGCCCTCATGGCCCACGTGGACGCTGTAATCCGCCACTGTGCTGGGCGGCTGGGCAACTACGTCATCAATGGGCGCACCAAGGTAAGGCTGGGTGGGAGGCTTTCACGGAGGGCCTGGGGAGCCCTTTGATTTCTTTAGTAGTCCTAGCATGGGTGGATCGGAGGCAGGCTTCTGGGGTTCGGTTTTAGTCAGTTCCAGTGGGAACTGTGGGATCGCTGGCTTCCCTCTGGGCCTTGCTTTATGCACCTGTAAGCCGGAGGTTTAGCCTGGGGCACAGTGTTCTTAACCTTGCAGGAATCCTTTGGAAAGCCTGATTAGAGCTGGTGACACACAGCCTCGCACCTGTGCACTGGCTGTGCCTGGTTCTTGGCCCCAGGTGTCTGCACACAGCCCCTGGATAGAGGATAGTCTGTAGGGCAGTGTTTCTTCCTCTGTCCCCGGCCCCTCTCCCTTTTGCCCTGTCCTCTGATTTGTTCCTGTCTGCTGGCCTCTCTTGTCCATCCTACCTCTCAGATAGAAGACCTAGAAGGCCAAGGAGAGGGAGTTAGGGTGAGCTGGGATGAGAGAGGACGGGGGTGCTGCCTGCCATCTGAGCACTTGCCCCTGGCTACTTTGTGCTCTTGGGCCAACTGTGGCATTTGCCTCTGGGACAGCCTCTGGGGGTGACATTGTGTGTGTGCATTCGGTTCAGGCAGAGCTGTCCTAGACTGTCACTTCTTCCTCGTTCCTGACCCCCTTTCCCCTTGTCTCTTCTTGGCCCCTTTTTCTTGTAGAATAGTAGTTTTTTTTTTTTTTATGGAGTTAGGGCCTTTTTAGGAAAAATGTTCATTGAGTTGGACTTCATAGACAATTGTCAAAGCTTCATGGGCCTCCAGCTACCATCCAGGGGCCATAGCCAGGCGCTGGTGGCTCTCACCTGTAATCCTGGCCACTCATAAGGCTGAGAACTGAGGATCACAGTTCAGAGCCAGCCGGGACAGGAAAGTCTGTGAGTCTTATTCCAATTAACCACCAAAAAAGCTGAAAGTGGAGTTGCGGCTCCAGCTGTGTAGTGCTAGTCTATGCCTGTGAGGGTCCTGGCCTCCAGTCTCAGGCTTGTTGTTGGACAGGTGTGTGGGGCAGGAGTGCCCATTTCTCAGCCCCAGCGATGCCAGGCTGACAGCCCTGGCTGTGCTCTGCTCCACAAGCAGGTGTGTTCCCGGTGTGTCCTCCCTTGTCGCTCAGGTCCCATCTTAGATTGTGTCTCTGTGGCTTTCCTCCCCACCCCCAAGTCAGGCCTGTGTCCTCCCCACCCAGCTGGAACTCATCCCCCACCCCTCTCCCGTTACTTGATAGCCAGCACCCACCCCTTCCCCTGGGCATGGCTCCTGTGCTGGCAAAGTCAGTGTGGCTCTCCTGGCTCAGCAGCTGTACCCAAGGGTCAGCTCCCCCCCCCCCCCCCCCGCCCCTCCACTCCCCCCATCCCTAAGGAGGAAGTAGGGAAACCAGAACTGCTGAGTGCCCAGGGTGGGAGGCTCAGGGCCTCACACACACAGAATTAGACAGCGGGGTGAAGTCTGCTGTGTGTGTGTGTGTGTGTGTGTGTGTGTGTGTACTCTTGGCACCTTGTCCCTAATAGTATAACTCTTCAGTGTCTTTGCTGATCCCA